CAAGTAAGGCTGGGACTAAGGAACATCCCAGCTGCTTTTGGGTGCTCCACCCATGACTGGACTTAGAATTTTCTCTAAAGTAACCTTGGGAAGGAGGAACCACAGGTATTCCATGCATCAAGCTACACAAGATGGTGACACCTTCACTTGTTCATTATATTAAGTAGCCTTAATATAAGGCTATTCTCCAGGTATAACATTGGGACTGATAGTCACACCTTCTCCTCTCCCCAAAAGATACGATATAGTATATGATCTACCCTAGTCTTGAACGAAGTGTTACCTCCACTCACTCATTCATTCATTCACCCATTCATTTACCTCAGCAATGGTGATTTACTGAATGCCTACATGTGGCAGGCTCTGGGCCAGAAGCTTGGGGCCATCAATGCCCTCCTGCTTTGCAGCTTAGTGGGAGACAAACAGATTTGCGCAAGGTGCTAGAAATAGAGGAACATAGATGTAGTAAGATTAGGCATATGTGATTTGGGTTGTTTCTAAGTAGAGATTTGGACTGCAATGCATTAAAGTCATTTAAGTATTTTCATTTTGTTTCCACTTTTAGGAGTATATCCTCAGAGAGCATCAGAAAAGCAGCCTCACTTGAGTGGAAAAGGATGTCCATGAAGTGACTGTTTATAAAAAATAAAATATAAAAAAGGAAACTACCAGGTGTTGGTGGCTTATGCGTGTAACCCTATCTACCCAAGAGACTGAGACCTGAGGATCACAGTTCATAGCCAGCCCAGCCAGATGAGTCCAAGCAACTCATCTCCAATTAACCAGCAAAAAAAGCCAGAACTGGAGGTGTGTCTCTAGCGGTAGAGTGCCATTTGAGTGAAAAGCCTGAATGAGAGGTGAGGAATTAGTGCAAAAAAATAAAAAAGGAAACCAATCAAGTAGCCAATAATGAGAAGCTTGTAAACAAAATATAGTACCCTCAAAAAAAAAAGAATATCATGCAGCCATTAAAATGAAAATGTGAAGAAACATTATTTGACTAGGGATATATTCACTTTATAGTTTGCAAATTATAGAAAAGTAGAGATTTCATTTGGGGGGGACATTTTTGTGAGTGTCTTTCTTCTGTTCCTGACTCAGGCTTCCTGCTCATTTTTTAAATCATTACTACTGGCTTATTATAATCATCACCCAGGTACATTGTTATGTCTCCCATTACCAAAAAGACAGAAAAAAATATTTGTGTGAGCCAATAGTGGGGCTTGAACTCAAAGCCTCATGCTCTTGCTTAGTTTTCTCACTCAAGGTTGGTGCTTTGCCACTTGAGCCACCCCTCCACTTCTGGCTTTTTGCTAGTTATAGATAAGCATCCTAAATTTGTCTTTTCCAGTCTGCTTTCCAGCGAGGGATCCTCAGATCTCATTCTTTTTAGTAGTTGGGATTATAGGTGGTAGCCACTGGGATCCTGAAAAAAATTCTTCTGTCTCTACTTTCCCACCAGCTGTCACCTCTTTTCATGCATGGTTTCATGCCTGTTAGGGCCTCCATGTTGCTAACCTCCACAAGTCATTTATATCTTCATTTCCTGGGCTCCATCAGTAGCAAGTTACACGGCGGATCACCCCTTCCTACACTGGTCTTTCTCCAGGCTTCCAGAGCTGCCCCCCTTCTTGGCTCTCTTGTCTTACTGCTTTCTCTGCTGCATCCTCCTCTTCCCAACCTTTTAATGCTCGTTCTCTTCCTGCCTACGTTCATTCCTTTGACCTTTTGTACTGACATTTCCGGTAGCTTCCGTCTCCCAAGCTGACTCAAAAATCCTTTCCTCACTCTGATTCTAAAGGACATTATAAATGTATCATGGCCCTGGGAGAATGGAAGAGCTGCTGACATCCCTATTTTATACGTTTCCTCCAACTGTTTCCCCCCCCCCTCCCAAATTGTTTTATTTTCTGGGTGCAGGTCATGGTACTCAAACTCAAAGCCTAGGTGCTGACCCTGAGCTTTTTGCTTAAGGCTAGCACTCTATCACTTGAGCCACAGCTCCACTTCCAGCTTTTTTGGGGGTGGGGTGTAAGTTAATTGAAGATAAGAGTCTCACAGACTTTCCTGCCCTGCATCCAACCACAATTCTCAGATCTCAGCCTCGTGAGTAGTTATGATTACAGACATGAACCATCAGTACCCCCCTAAAAGAACTTTTTTTAAGGGAAAGAGCCACAAATCCCTGGTTTCCAATTTTTTTTATTCCACTTGTTGGCCCTTAAATCTTTCCTAATGCTCAAGTCAAGAAAGTAAAAATCATCACAAATGCCTCTTTTTCTCACATCCCAGATTCATCCTTTATAAAATCCTGCTAGCTCTGGTGTTAAAGAAATATTTCCCAAGCCCAAATCCAGTGACTTTTCACCTCTTTGACTGGGCTTCCTTCTGTACCAACCTCCCATCACTGATAGTTTAGACATTAGATCAATCCATCCATTTCCTCCAATTAGAATGTGTTTTTCCTGAGGAATAGGATTCTTACCTATTTTTGTTCATGATGAACCCTGGATACTTAGAACAATGTTTGGCATGTAGCAAAATACAGTGGGAAAAAATTACTTTTTTCTAGCATTGCTGAAAATGGATCCTAGACCCTCACATATGCTAAGCAAGCATTAAACCACTGAGCTACACCTCAGCCATGTTTAGTAAGAAATTTTAGCAAGCTATTATTGTTTAAAAACCTTTATTTCCATGTTATCGTCTACTCTTTAGTAGAAGCAGAAGACTACAAATTTCTAGATTTAGAATGGATTAGTTCTTGCCCTGTACCAACTCCTGCTTGTACCCACAAAGCCAGTAAGAATTAACACTCACCATACCACCCTCTTATACTAGCACAAGGCCCAGTAGACTCACATTCGCCAAGTAGTAATTGCAGACCAGGGTTTTACCAAATAACTTGCTACTACGTAAAGTAGGTCATCAAACAGCCTCCAGTGTCTATGCTCTTGCCTTCTATAATGCTGCATATTTTAGAGTTTATTTTTAACCAAGGATCCCAGAGCAAAAGGCTAAATTTTGTATTCATGATAACAAGAGCCCAGAATTCCTGTGGCTACATACAGTGGTTGCTGGCTTCTCCCTCATGAAGTTGTGCTCCTCCAGGCAGTTGCTTAAGGATCCAAGATGTCTCCAAAAAAGCCATCCTGAGAATATACTTTCCAAGGCTACCCTGGGGGGCCATGTCCATTCCAGCCAATCAGAATGCTGAAAGGGCATGAACAAGCTCTCATAAAAGGGTCCTAGGAAATCATCCCCGACATTGTCGCTGACCAGAACTCAATCACATGACTCCATGTAGACGAAAGGGGCTGGCGTGAAGGTAGGAAAAATGTATTTCCTGGCTAAATCTTTTTTTTTGGGGGGGGGGTCCGGTTGTGGGGCCTGAACTCTGGGCCTGGGCACTGTCCCTCAGCTCTTCAGCTCAAGGCTAGCGCTCTACCATTTGAGCCAAGGCGCCACTTCCGGCTTTTTCCTTTTGTTTATGTGGTGCTGAGGAATCGAACCCAGGGCCTCAGGCTTGCAAGGCAAGCGCTCTACCACTGAGCCACCTTCCCAGCCCCTTCCTGGCTAATCTATAGAAAGGTGAGAACCAATTATTTTTAGCAGTAAACTGATGTCCTGAATTTAAACAGACAAATGCCAATAATCTGGGTTTAACATTTCTACCCTCCAAAACCCTTCTATAATTGTTTGAACCCACTAGCACAGGGAGGTTTGTCAGGATGCTGTCCTCCGGAGTTGAGTTGAGAAACCTTCCTTACGCCCTTCATTCTGGGAAGGAGGTACAGAAGGAACAGGCGGTGAGTCTTTAAATAACTGTTTCCTGCTATGAACCCACCTCCACCCTGCAAAGAAGCTCAGTATAGGGACTGAACAATTGCTAGCTACTGGGTTTTTTTTTTTTTTAAAAAATTTTTAAACAAAGGCCTTGGTGTGCTGAACCACTCTGCTCTTTGCTTCCCCAAGAGAGAGTAGGCAGAGAATGGGCGGCCGGAAGTGGGAACAGGGAACAACTGGAGCTGGGCCTGTCAGGGCAGAGCTCGCTACTGGAGTAACAGCCACAGGAGGTAGGCAACATGGTCCAGCTTATAGCTCTCATAGGCTAGGTCCTGCCTACCCCCAGACAGGTGCGGGAACAGTCACTGGGGGGGGGGGGGGGGAGGGGGGAGGCAGGGCGCTAAAGAAGCCGGTTTCATGGACGAAGCTATTGTTAAAAACCAGATCTAGGGCTGGGAAGGTGGCTCAGTGGTCGAGCGCTTGCCTTGCATGCTTGAGGCCCTGGGTTCAATTCCTCAGCACCACATAAGCAAAAAAGCCGGAAGTGGCGCTGTGGCTCAAGTGGTAGAATGCTAACCTTGAGCTGAAGAGCTGAGGGACAGCGCCTAGGCCTAGAGTTCAGGCCCCATAACCGGACCAAAAAATAAAATAAAAACCAGATCTAATGAACTCATGGAACTCTCCAGCAAAAGATTCAACACCAACCACACTCTTCTCAAATTCATGTGGTCACAGAAGCTCCAGGTACACCCTGCTCAACCATGAGCCAGAGCAAATGCATTTTTACATTTGGAGAATGTAGACATGTGTGATTTACGATGCTTACACAAACAGCTGATGTCTACTCAGACCAAGTAATCCTAATTGAATCAGTGCACAGATAAGGTCCTGGGTTACACAAAAACAGAGGTGGTTATTTACACACACACACACACACACACACCCATGACTTGTGATATGTTTAAAATAGAGTGCAGCTCACATGGAGCTTGTGACAGCATGGCGACTTGCAAAGTGAGCCGCACCTGCAGCAGGGTAAGGCACTGCCGTCTCCCTGGGCTGCTGGGCTGTGGGCAGTGCAGCTGTCATGGCTGCAAACAGGTGGTGTAAGACAATAGCTCCACTGAGTCGTCAGCTAGCTTTCCAACCCTTCTAGCAGCCAAGTGTCTAGCCACAGTGCCAGGGAGCAGAACAAGCATTGTGCAGCTCCAGGTCTACAGCAGCGCCCACAGCCCATGGAGCCCCGGCCGCTGCTCCTGCTCCTTGGCCTCTGCTCAGGTAAGTGATGTAGATAGCAGGGACTTCCATTTGAGATGGAGCACTAGAGACCCTCTCAAACCAAGGCATCTTTGCTGGGATTCTGACAGCAGGGCCTTCCCCAGCCTGGCAGAGGCTCCTTTGCCAGTTTTATTCCTGATGATAACTTGGTTGGATTTTTGAATAATGATTTTTAGTTTGTGTTACCCAGTTAAAGTGGGAGCTTCCTTGTCAAAGGCTCCAAGGTGGACTGCCAGGTCTATCCATGGCTCCTTAGTGCCACTTGTAGAATCTGGGCCACTGGCAGACCACTAGAGAACCCTAGAACTGCCTTCATATTTCAGCTGCTGCAGGGAATTTAAGCAGCAACTTATAATCACAATTAATGGAGTTGACAAAGCCTTTTGCTGTTCCAGAATTCTGCTAATGAAGAGGATTGATCGACAACTGCATGTAGTGGAAAGAGAAACCTATTTGTAATTGTAACTAAGTCCATACAGATGAAGTATTTTATAATTTTTTAACTTCTGAAGGTAAAAAAGTTCATATAAATGCATTCCTGCCTACTTTCTTCTTATTTTAGTGATGCTACTATATGTAGGTTGGGTTTAAGTTGAAACTACAGAACCTTTCACAGTTCTTAACTTGTGAGCTGCTCTGGAATGCGTCAGAAACACTATCCTAAACTTCCCAAAGAGGGAACTAGGAGATGTTTGCTGATTGTTTCATATAAAAGTTTACCAGCTATATCATTCCAACTGAAAAAGAACGTACTGATAGCCCTAATATTGCTTTGACAAACACAGACCTTCAATAATTTTTTTCAATAGCAGAGTTTCAACTCATATCAATTATATCTTTGACCCAACCAAGATGGTATGGTGTGATGTGGGGGTAGGATGTGTGTGTGTGTGTGTGTGTGTGTGTGTGTGTGTGTGTGTGTGTGTGTGTGAAATATCACACTTGATGTCAATTCTTAAGTGATAAGCTTCTTTTAAAAACAACTTAAGAAAAAAATAATAAAAACAACTTAAGAGACCTGTTAAGCCAACAAATGTATGTTTAGCTATTAAGAGAAGAATGTGTTATGTGTTTTGATCAAACCTACAGTTTGCTGGTGTTGATTCCTGTAAGTGGCTTACTGAAATTTAGAGCTATATCAGTCTAACTTCCTCAAGTTCTTACTGAAATGAAACAGGTTGAATGATATGAACTGACCTTCCCAAGGTCACCTAGTTTATAAAATTTGCAATGTGGAGACTTGGTTTATTACATGCACAGTCAAAAAAACAACCTACATAACCAAGTTGCAAGTGACACAGCTTTGGGTTTAGGCAAGAATTACACAAGGTGACTGACTTGTCACATATCAAATTTCCTTCTGCCTATACCATATAAAAACTACAGCTCTCCAGTTTGGACCAGCCATTTGGACACTTTGAAATTGTGGCTAAATTACCCTATTTGCAGTGAGTCCCTTATGGGCAAATTCTCATTCATTCACAATCAGGCCACTTTTTTTCTGTGTTGGGAGATACCTAATGATCACCATGTTACTCATGTAGCTCTTTCTTTCCAATCTTTCCCTCCTTCCGCTTCCAGAATCCCAAGTACTTCCTTGCCAGCATCAGCATGTTTATAATTCCTTATGTGAGTGTCAGGTCAATGCCCATGGAATAGAGACCTGTGCCAGGCTCACTTACAAATATCTCAAAGTTCCTCAAGCAATGTTCACGTGCAATAAATGCTCACCATATATTTAATAAATGAATAATGTTACCACTATCCAAATAGTGATCAACAATATAATTTTGTTAAAAGAGGAGATTTTAACATGATTTATCTGTTTATTTGAATCCTGGCTTTTAATGAAAGTCATTTACTGTGATTCACTGAACCTATGGAGAATTGGTTCAATATTCCAGACCAACTTGGAGTTTGAACCTTACAATTCTGCCTTTGGAAGTCTTCTATCGCCTCATTCTACATCAATGAAACCAATCTAAGAAATGGAGATCTACTTGGAAATAATAATTCTTCGTCTTCTTCTTCTTCTTCTTTTTCTTCTTCTTCTTCTTTTTCTTCTTCTTCTTCTTCTTCTTCTTCTTCTTCTTCTTCTTCTTCTTCTTCTTCTTCTTCTTCTTCTTCTTCTTCTTCTTCTTCTTCTTCTTCTTCTTCTTCTTCTTCTTCTTCCTCCTCCTCCTCCTCCTCCTCCTCCTCTTCCTCCTCCTCTTCTTCCTTCTCCTCCTCCTCCTTTTCCTATTATTATTGTTATTATTACTATACTAGTAGTAGCAATAGTATTACTGTCTTTAAGTAGTTTCACAAAGGAGTTATTTAACAAAAGACATTTCTGAATATACTGCACCTTGAGCAATGTCACCCTTAGAAATTCTTCATAGAAGGAACTGGCACCTGGTCATTGGCTACGGTGGGAGAGGATGGTCAGTTTGGATAAGTTCCTCCAGGTCTGCCCTTCTCCTCAGTGGTCCTCAGATTCACCTAAGAACTTTTATGCTTTCTAGTATTTATTCATTGCTTTCTAGTATCTTTTTATATATATTCATTGCTTCTCAGTATGTTCTTCCTGTCATTAAAAACCACAGAACAAACTGGGCACTGGTAGCTCACACCTGTAATCCTAACTACTCAGGAGGCTGAGATCTGAGGATGGTGGCTCAAAGTCAGCCCAGATAGGAAAGTCTGTGAGCCTCTTATCTCCAATTAAGAAAACCAGAAGTAGAGCTATGGTTAAAAGTGATACTAGCCTTGAGCAAAAGAGCTCAGGAACAGTGCCCAGGCCCTAAGTTCAAGTCCCACAACGGACAAAATAAACACAGGGCAATACCAACAGTCAAGGCACTTAGGTACCAACTCCAGGTCCCAGTCTCTTGGTGAAAACCCACTGCAGCCAGAATGGACAAAGTGTAGAAGAAAGAAGATTGCTCTATCCCAGTGGTTCAGTACAAAGCCTGGGTCTTTGAAGGATCATCAAATGAATAGGAAGGTCCTATGTTTAACCTCTGCATATTTGGACCCTTTTAGCATCATTGGAAGCTTTGGGTCTCAGAATACTTGGGACACTTGAAACAAAGAGGTGAACTAAGTCAAGGAGCCATAAAAGTAACAAGGTTTGAGCTATCTTGAAAGCTTCAAAACTCTGAATAGAGCTGGAAGTGGTTTGGTATACTTGTAATACTAGCTATTTATGAGGCAGAAGTAAGAGGATCATAGTTTGAGGCCTACCTAGGCAAAGGTAGGGTGACACTTTTATCTGAAAAACAAATGGAAAGCAAAGACATTGGGGTATGGACCAAGTACTAGGAGCATGGCTCCAGTATAGAGCATTCTCAAGTGCACGGCCCTGAGTTCAAATCCCAGTATTAAAAAAGTCTGAATGGAAATGTTTCTTTGGTCTTTGGAGAGGAGATAAACCGTCTCTGGGAACCCAAACTCTTAACTAGAAAGTGAACTGCCATGAGTGCTCACTCAGCAATCCAAACTTCGGTTTTCTCATCTATAAAGCAGGGGTGAAAAATAATCACAGAGCATCAGTGTAAGCATCCAAGAAGTTAATACAACTATAAATACTTATTCAGGCCCTGAGGGGGTAACCAAAAGGTATACTTTGAGGGGATAGAAATGTATCTGTTTACTACCTATATCACTGGTTACTTTACACAGATCCAAAACTGTAGGTGAGGAACCCTAATTGAATCCTGGCCCCACCACTTGCAGAACCTAGGAAAGTTACTTAATCTCTCAGTTTCCTCATTGGTAAAGCAAGGGCAAGAACAGCCCCTACCTCACCCGGTTTGGAGGATTGAGTTAGTTATATAAAGCTCATGTAAGAGTGTCTGGAACATAACAAGTCGTTGGATTAGCTATTGGTTTTGTTGGTTAATAAAAAAAAAACAATCACTTTCTACTTTATAATTATGTGTTTACAAACTCTTCCAAGCTTAAGACCAAAAGACAAAATAATAAAGAAATAAATGATCATCTGTTTCCAAGGTGATAGATACTGAGCAGAAAAGGAAAGTGTCTGGCTGGTTCAATGTTCAGAGTTGTCTTGGCCCACAGAGAATTATGGCGGTCTCAGCAATGCCCTGCGGAAAGGAGAGATCTGGTTACATGGGTCAGAACAAATGGATCATGTGTCAGCTTCCTGGGATCATTTGTCTACTACTCCAAACAGGCAGACCTCAATCCCTGCCAGGCTTGAATTACACAGAGCCTTCATAAGGCACTTCTTGGAATTTGGGACAGATTTTTCTCCTAGGAATAAGGGTATGTATAGTTGTGAGGTTCCAGGCCAGCCCATGCCACACAGGTGAAATTAAGAGCTGGTGCAGGAGCAGCACACAACATGAGAATCCAAGCTCTGCCCTTCTGGCTGTATGACCTTGAGCCAGGCCTATATCCCGTGAGTTGAGAACATCTGCTAGTCTCACCAGCATCAGAGGGTTGGCACATGTTGGGGCTGGGATGGGAACCACAGGATGGTTTCTATCCTCTGACCCAATACATGCTGAACAGAAAAGGGCTGTATGGAGAATATTTGATGGTACCACTCTGTATCCTGAAGAGCTGTTGGAGTTTCTCATGCTCTGAACAGGAGCTTCAAACCCAGGTCAACAAAACTCGAGTTTCACCTTCTAATGGTGAGCTTTAACATGATTAAAATGGTAAATTATATGTAATGGGCATTTTACCACAAATCACTACTGATAGATACGTGCAGTAAAATGCTTATTACAAGCTGGGCACTGGTGGCTCATTCCTGTAACCCTAGCTACACAGGAGGTTGAGATCTACAGATCATGGCTTAAAGCCAGCCTATAAAGTCCACAAGACTCTTATCTCCAATTAACCATCAAAAAGCTAGAAGAGGTGCTGCAGCTCAAGTGATAGAGTGCTAGCCTTGAGAAAACAGCTCTGGGACAATGTCTAGACCTTGAATTCAAACACCACTACTGGAATGTATCTGCACGTTCCTGTGCATGCATGTGCACACACATGCACATTATATAAAATATTCTGTTTTGATCATTTCAGGGTTACAGTTTAGTGGCATTAAGTAGATTTGCTGTGCTAAGTGACTATGACCATTGTCTTCATCCCAGAAGGAAGGCCTGGGTAGCCTGCCTTCCTCTCACCCCCACCCCCCATCCCTAGCAACCACTCTTCCTTTCTCTATGGGTTTATCTGTTCAGTGTCTCATATAAATGGAGTTAGCACCATGCGCTCTGTATGCTTGTTGCTTTTCATTATTATGTTTTCAAGGTCTGCGAATGTCAGGGCATGTATCAGTGCTTTATTCTTTCTTATGCTGAGCAATATTGCATTGTTTGGAAACACCATAATTTATTCATACACTTATTTGCTGCTAGGCATTTTTTTTAAAAAAAAGGACATACTTTTTATTTCAAGAAAACTCTGAGATAGGTTTTTTATTTTTTTATTGTAAAGATATTGTACAGAGGGGTTACAGTTACATGAGCAAGGTAATGAGTACATTTCTTATCAAGCATTGTTGCCTCCTCCTTTGCTTTTCCTCTACCATCCCTTTCCTCTCCACCTCCCCAGCTCTTCCCTCCCCCCACAAAAAAAATTGTAAAGTTCATTTTCAACATAGTGTCTTGTACATCTCATTGTTACAATGGGTCATCCCATATCCTTATTTCAGCATTTTGTTATTTCCCTTCCCCTCCCCAAATTAGAAAAATGTATATACAAGATGCAGGACCAGAATCAAATACAGTGAAAACAGGGGTTATACCATAGGAGAACAACATACAAAAGAAACAAAAAAATCACATAGTATATTGTAAGTACATTAAGAAGAACAGCAACAAAGATCAAACCTCTTATGTCCCTCACTTAGGGTTCATTTTGCTTAGCATCTTCTTATATGGTCATATGTACATAGCTTTGACCTTTTCTGCTTGTCTGCTAAGTCACTTTTGTCTCCACCTTCTGATTATTTTAAATAGTGCTGTTCTTCATTCAGGTGTGCACCTGAGGGTGGAATTGCTGGGTCAATTACTGGGAACAGCTTATCTTGTTGAAGGACTGCCCCTTTATATTTCTATCAGCAACAGATGAGGATCCAGCTTCTTTTTTTCTTTTGCACACAATTCAATATTTTACAGCAATTAAAAGTGCACTCATTATGGACATTGTAGCATAAAGGGAATTTAACACAATAGGGGGTTAGAGACAGTAAAAAGCTGAAATTACATTTTTTTAAAGCAAGCATAAAAATAGCTTTGTAAGTTTGAAGAAGTGTGTGTGTGTGTGTGTGTGTGTGTGTGTAGACATTAAAACAATCATAAAGGAAAAAGTCAATAATCTGGAGTATATCAAAAAGGAAATAATTTTGATTGATAAATATCAGACAAATGAATCAATTCCCCTATATATACTTGCAGACACATAGATATTCACTTATGCACATATATCATAATAAAAAAACCCCTCATTTAAAAATGAGCAAAATCACCAGATGCTGGTGGCTCGTGCCTGTAATCCTAGTTGATCAGGAGGCTGAGATCTGAGGATCATGGTACAAAGCTAGGATCCAGCTTCTTACACCCCACCAGCGTTTTATTTTCTGTTGTGTTAACAAGGCCATCCTAAGAGCAGTGAGCCAGCAACCTGTTTTCCCTGTTCACAGTGTCATGAGATGAGTCCAGCCAGTTCAAGAGTCCATTACCACCATGACCACACTCTGGAACACAGATGCTGGCTTTTTAATGGATCTTTCTCATGTGCATGATCTTGGCACACTTGTAGCCGGGGGCTGTATTAAAGAATGTCACCTGTCTAAAGGACAAATGTTGTGATAATCTGGTATAGTTCACCCCCACTGCAGCCTGGAAAGGAAGCAGCCAAGCAACTGTGCTTGGAAAGGGACCTCAAGCAATAAGGCAACACAAGACAGCCCTCCCCAGAGGCCCTGCGTGCCTTCAGTCTTGGTGCTGGGGTTGGTGGAGGGGCAGAGTCTGACAGAGTATATATCATTTGCTGTCCAGCTGGCCTCGTCCTGAGCTCTGAACATGAGACCCGTCTGGTGGCAAAGCTATTTAAAGACTATAGCAGTGTGGTACGGCCAGTGGAGGACCACCGCCAGGCTGTGGAGGTCACCGTGGGCCTGCAGCTGATACAGCTCATCAGCGTGGTAAGACAAAGGCCTGGGGCTCCCAAGGCACACCTCCCCCCCCCCCAATCCTACCAGGGGATTCTGCCTTCATCTCTGTGCTCCACCTTTTACAGAGCGGACCTTGTCTTGTTTTCAGGATGAAGTAAATCAGATTGTGACAACCAATGTGCGTCTGAAACAGGTAATTCAGTGAGGTAATTGCACCAATGTTTTGATTCACCCTGAAATCAAACCTGGACCCTGATGACATTCATTTAGGTAACAGAATAAGAGATATATAGAGTATAGATCTCATATCTCTCTCTGTATATATAGATATATATATATACTATATATATACATATCCCATATACTCCATATATATATATATATATATACACACACATATATACTTCCATATATAAACACATATACACATATATGGGAGCATATATGTGTATAAGACACATGTATATGTATATGTGTATATATACACATATATATGTATATATGCACATATTCCCATATACATGGGAATATAGATCTTGTCTGGTTTTTGTTTTGTTTTTATTACATTGAGCTTCTTGTGCATATTGCTTTGCTAAGGCAACCACTGGTAGCTTCAACAAAAGTATCACTAATCATTGTTTGTTGTTGTTGTTGTTGTTTTTGTTTCTGTTTTTTTTTTAGTCGGTTGTGGGGCTTGAACTCTGGGCTTGGGCGCTGTCCCTGTGCTCTTCAACTCAAAGCGAGCGCTCTACTGTTTGAGCCACAGCACCACTTCTGGTTTTCTAGTGGTTTATTGGAGATAAGAGTCTCATGGAGTTTCCTGCCTGGACTGTCTTTGAACTGTGATCCTCAGATCTCAGCCTCCTGAGCAGCTAGGATTATAGGCGTGAGCCTCCAGCACCTGGCTCATCATTGTTTTTATAAGGACACCAGTCATGTTGGATTAGGACCTACCTTAATGTTCTTGTTTTAACTTAATTTCTCTGAAAAGACCCTAATTTCAATATGGTCATATGTTGAAGTATAGATTAGCACCAAATTTGCAGCATTTTATAATGTAGGAAAATATGTAATACATTTAAGATTTATATTAGTGCATGAGCCAAGTGTCCACACTAGGGTTGTTCTGACCTGAGGGTGTCATATGTGGCCTGGTAGATCTGCCACCTCCCAGCTGGTGTGGCACTGGAGTGTGACCTTGTTCCTTCATCTGTACACAAGGTCAATTATCACTCCTTTTGTCTAATTTTTGGCAATATTGGGGTTTGTGCTCAGGGCCTGTGCCTGAAGTGCTTGTTCCATTTGAGCCATGTCCCTCCCCTTTTTTGCTATATTTTTCAGATAGGGTCTTTTTTTTTTTTTTTTGGGTCCGGTCGTGGGGCCTGAACTCTGGGCCTGGGCGCTGTCCCTCAGCTCTTCAGCTCAAGGCTAGCGCTCTACCACTTGAGCCACAGCACCACTTCTGGCTTTTTTATGTGGTGCTGAGGAATCGAACCCAGGGCCTCAGGCATGCAAGGCAAGCGCTCTACCACTGAGCCAACTTCCCAGCCCTTCTCATCAGTCTTGGGGCTTGAACTCAGGCCGGAGTGCTGTCCCTGAGCTTTTTCACTCAAGGCTAGCACTCTACCACTTGAGCCACAGTGCCACTTCCAGCTTTTTTCTTTTTGCGTATGTGGTGCTGAGGAACCGAACCCAGGGCCTCAGGCATGCAAAGCAAGCACTCTACCACTGAGCCACCTTCCCAGCCCCTCAGATAGGGTCTTGTACTTTTGCTTACATTGGCTCAGGCTCCAATCCTCTTGCCTCTGCCTCCCAAGTGGCTGGGACTACAGGCATGTACTATGCGTCTGTACCTGGCATGTTTTTGAGAGAGAGTCTTTTGAGCTTTTGCCCAGTCTGGCCTTGAATCTCAATCCTCCCCAATCTCTACCCCCAGAGCACCTAGAATTCTAGGTGAAAGCCACCTTGCCCAACTCAGTAGTCATTTTTATCTCTAAGGATTATAATGAGGACTACAAGAGATAATGAAGAGCTTACAATGGTAACTAAGCATAACCAACACTATAGGTTTGCTGTTACTATTTACAAAAGCGGACATTGAATTATGAATCAAAAATTCCTTTCTAAAAAAAATTCCTTTCTGAAGCACAATTTCTACCAGTAGCTGAATTACCATGTCCACAGGGGCTCTTGATCCCCTTAGATTTTTTTGAAAAATGTTTTTGGCTTTATAATTAGCTGCGTGTCTTTGTTTCTAGCAATGGGTGGATTACAATCTAAAATGGAATCCAGATGACTACGGTGGTGTGAAAAAAATTCACATTCCCTCAGAAAAGATCTGGCGGCCAGACTTCGTTCTCTACAACAAGTGAGCAAAGCCCCGGGCAGGAGGGATTTCTGGTGGAGGCAGGTGGAGACAAGTGTCCTGGGCAAGGGCGGGGGGAAGAAGGGGGAATCTGCATGCCTCTCACCACTGTTAACATTAAATAACCCCTAAAAACCAAAGCCACATTGACAGGCGAGAGCTGCCATATGGTGTCTCATGTTATGAATAGAAACAATTATCGGAGCCAAATTGAATCAGGGCTGTGGGTGGGGGACATTTAATTCCTGAGAACTCCTGAGGAGTATGTGGCAACCCTCCAAGGTACCCAAACTTCCTATCCCTGAGTTCCTTGGAATTATATTTCCTCCCTACCAAATGGATCTAAACCCAGAGTTCTGACTCATCACATCCTGAACGTCATCCGATACTGATGCCCGGATGCCCGCCTTGCCCATCTTCTGGGCCCTGTGACAGAAGGCATGTTATGAAATTAGAATGGGATCTAAGGCACTTGATTTAATGACATGCTCATGATCATACACCTTTCATTTGTCAGGGAATATAAATTTCAAAGAGCATCCTTTCTAGTCAGAAGCCTTATACTGGCCTGGAGGGGCGTGAGTGTGTGTGTGTGTGTGTGCACGCGTGCATGTGCACCCACGTGCGTGCACACACACACACACACACACACACACACACACACCAGTCCTGGGGCTTGAACTCTTGGCTGGCACTCTACCACTTGAGCTACAGTTCCACTTCCAGCTTTTTTAGTGCTTAATTGGAGAAAAGAGTCTCACAGACTTCCCTGCTCTGGTTGGTCTAGAACCAAGATGCTCAGATCTCAGCCTTCTGAGTAGCTAAGATTACAGGTGTAGGCCACGAGTACCTGGCTGGCCTGGATGTTTTACAGTGTAGCCTAGGCTATCCTTGAACTCACTATCCTCTTACCTTATTCTGGGATTACAGACATGTATCACCATGCCCAGCTCTAAATGGTTCTTAAAAAGGCAATAAAGCAGGGCTGGGAATATGGCTTAGTGGCAGAGTGCTTGCCTAGCATGCATGAAGCCCTAAATTCAATTCCTCAGTACCACATAAACAGAAAAAGCTGGAAGTGGTCCTGTAGCTCAAGTGGTAGAATACTAGCCTTGAGCAAAAGAAGCTCAGGGACAGTGCCCAGACCCTAAGTTCAAGCCCAGGACTGGCAAAAACAAACAAAAAACGGCAATAAAGCTGGGTGATGGTGGCTCACACCTGTAATCCCAGCTACTCAGAATGCTGAGATCTGATGATCTCGGTCTAACGTCAGCTGAGGCAGGAAAGTCTGTGAATCTCTTATCTCCAGTTAACCGCCAAAAATCAGAAATAGAGTTATGACTGAAGTGGTAGAGTGCTAACCTTGAATAAAAGATGCTTAAGCATAGCACCTAGGCCCTGAGTTCAAGTCCTAGGGTTGGTACATGCATGCATGCACACGCACGCAAATGCATGAGCATGCACACACACACATAATACACACACACACACACACACACACACACACACACAGAGCAATAGATCCATTTCCTAGCTTGTGTGTCATAGTAAGGAAACAATGGAGGGTTTATTTAACATTTCTAGGTTTCCCAGTTAATTCTCAAAGTTTATTGGTAAGGGGTAGATGGAAATTAACATCACAAATACCACAGAGGACTGGGAAAACCTGAGATGCATAGACCCTTGTTTCCTTAAACCTGTAGCATCTCAATTTCTTCCCCAGATATTCTGACTCAAGGCTTCCTAATGCTCAGGAAGGTATTTTTTTTTAACAAGTAGTCCAATGATTCTTGTTATAAGACAAATCTGGGCAACTTTCCATAGATGAAAAAGCAACCATCCCCAGAGAAAGCTTCCATAATTAGCACCTGAATAATTAGCAGCTGTCTCCTATTAACATCTCCAAGCAGAATGGGAGGCTCATCTGTCACTTGGAGCCATTTTCTTCTCTTATCCCAATTGTAGTGCAAATGGTGACTTTGCCATTGTCAAGTTCACCAAAGTGCTGCTGGACTACACAGGCCATATCACGTGGACACCTCCAGCCATCTTTAAAAGCTACTGTGAGATCATTGTCACCCACTTTCCTTTTGATGAGCAGAACTGCAGCATGAAGCTGGGCACCTGGTCCTATGATGGCTCTGTGGTGACAATCAACCCGGTAGGTCATAACCACTTATGAGGATCCTGGGTTCAAGAAAAGTGTGATCCAAGTTTCCCACTCTGCCCTTGGGTATTCACAGGCTCTCAGTACCAATTAGAAGTAGTGAGTCATCTAGTTGGAGGGTTAGCAATTATTGGAGAAGGCTCTTGAGAACTAATAGGCTTAAATGGATTCTCTGTGCCTAACACTGCCTCAAGAATTCTGACTTCCTCCATCATAGGGGAGAGCAAGGAGCAGGAGAATAAGGCACCCATATTTCAAAGTTCCCAGAACTAAATAGAAGAATTCCACAAATCCAACCCCCCTTATGCTTTAGGAAAGCAATCTAAGACCCTAGCAAAAGTGGCCCAACACCGGTCCTGGGTACATGGCCCTCAGACCTAGAGGCTGTTGCCTCTGGAGGTCACTTCTGCTGCTGCTTACAGATCCCTGCCTTCCCCAGCATGCTGTTGGGGGGGGGGGTCTCTAAGCATCTTTTCCTTTCTCAGGAAAGTGACCAGCCAGATCTGAGCAACTTCATGGAGAGTGGAGAATGGGTGATCAAGGAGGCCCGGGGCTGGAAGCACTGGGTGTTCTATTCCTGCTGCCCCACCACCCCATACCTAGACATCACCTACCACTTCGTCATGCAGCGCCTGCCTCTCTACTTCATTGTCAACGTCATCATTCCCTGCCTGCTCTTCTCCTTCCTAACCAGTCTGGTGTTCTACCTGCCCACAGACTCAGGTGGGTGCAGTTGCCATGGCAGCAGCTGCTGATGGAGCATATGCTGCTATTTTAGGAAAAGCCAGAAATAATCATGTGCTAACAAACAGAGGTACAGAGACACAAGTCACCGTCACTGAGAGGACACACGTGCCGGGCAGCCAGGTGGAGTGGAAAGTGATTGTGGAGAGCGTGCACAGCTGGGCAGATGTCCAGAGCAAAGAGAGATGGGCATAATCACAAAGGAGCACATCCCTAGCTTAGTCGAGTTAAAGGAAGATGTTCATCAATATGTTCGCTCAGCCAGGTACCAGTAGCTCATACCTGTAATCCTAGCGACCCAGGAGGCTGAGATCTGAGGAATGAGGTTCAAAGCCATCCTGGGCAAACAAGAGATTCTTATGTCCAGCTAACCACCAAAAAAGCTAGAAGTGGAGGTGTGGCCTAAGTGGTAGAGTACCAGCCTTAAGTGAAAAACTAAGGGAGAACATGAGGCTTATGTTCAAGTCTCAGTACTGGCACATACATACACACAAATACTTCTGTTCAACACCAACCATGTGCTTCCTTCACACACAACCATGTGGCTGGGTGTGACAAAGATATCCCCTGTGATGTCATTCAGTATACCAACTACTCTAGGTCTTGCTCCTTCACTCATTACGCACCATTTCAGTAGCTTCTGCATAGCTGCTTTCCAGATGGCAGCATCTTATACAGGAGACTGACTTCCCAAGAGGCAATTCTTTCTCACGTATCAGCCTGGACAACTTACTTACCACTTACTGAATAATCACATCTGTGATATAATTTCATCAGACCCCAGCAATCAGACAAAAAGGCAAAAGGACACACACATACATCTGTGAACAAGTCCCTGCTCATGAACAGTTCATAGTTAAGAGTAGAAAAAAATAGAAAAGATGGAGCAGACAGCTCAGTACAGAAAAGGTGGCAAGTGCTCCACCTACTGGAGGAAGTGCTGTACTCATTTTAACTTTTTAATTTTTCAAGTTTATTTTTTTATTGAGTTTGTGTTGCCAAGCTGAATAGGAACTCGGGATCACCCACCTCAGCCTGTAGCCATTTTAAACAAATGAGTACGAGTAAATATCTTTTCAACCTCCTAACCAAACAAAGCTCCAGAAAGTAAATTGAGAAAACACTGCCGGGCAATACAGAAACAAATTAATGTCTATAAATACTAAATAATGTCTACTTGAAAAATATTTAGGACAATGAACTATACTAAGCTTAGTAAATGCTAGCTACTGTTACTCTTGTTATTAATCAAATTATATGTAACCTGAAAACTATTTTATCTTTCAAATTCAGATTTCTTTTTCAGTTTTTCTTTTTTCATTTTTTTTTTGTCACTCATGGGGCCTGAACTCTGGGCCTGGACGCTGTCCCTTAGCTCTTCAGCTCAAGGATGAAGCGTGCTACCACGAAAGCCACAGTGCCACTTCCAGCTTTTTCTGCTTATGTGGTGCTGAGGAATCGAACCCAGGGCCTCATGCATACAAGGCAATCGCTCTACCATTGAGCCACCTTCCCAGCCCCTCTTTTTCAGTTTTGAAGGCTGTCCTGCTCACCAGAAAAAAACAAACCAGTTCTTGCTTCCATCTATTCTGTCCTCTGTGTTTATATGGGTCCTTCAGTCTTCATAGGGGATTGGTTCCAGGAATCTTGTAGTAACCTAAATCCATGTTTGCTCATGTCTTTGATATAAAATGGCATAGTAAGCTGGGCACTGGTGGCTCATGCCCATAATCTTAGCGATCCAGAAGACTGAGATCTAAGGATTGCAGTTCAGATCCAGCCCAGGTATAAAAGCCCATGAGATTCTTATTTGCAACAAACCACCAAAAAGTCAAAAGTGGAGCTGTGGCTCAAGCTGGTAGAGTACCAACCTTGAGCAAAAAAGCAAAGGGATAGTACCTGAGTTCAAGCCTCAGGACTGGCGCACATGAGCAAGCATGCACACACACACACACACAGAGTATTTGCAATAACCTATATATGTTCTTTCATATACTTTAAATCATTCCTAGGTTACTTATAAAACCAAATACAATGTGAGGTCTCTATTATACTACACTGTTAGGCAATAGTGACAAGAATAAAGTCTACATGTTCAATATAGTTGCAACTTTTTTGTTTGTATTTTTGCATGCTGAGGATCAAACCCACGTCTTTGTACTTGTGAGGTAAGTATGCTACCACTGAACTAAACCTCAAGCCTATATTTTCCTACATATTTTTTTATCCAAGCTTGTTTGGCTTTCTAGATGCAGAATCCATAGAGGCAGAGGGCCTACTGGAAGCATCCAGCATTGGAATGCTGGCAGGGCACTACTAGGGTTTTCCAGAAAAACCAGCAGCGAGACGATCACAAGGACAGTCCTTCCCACAGGTCCTCTACTGCTTTTGAAGTGGCCAGATGCCATGAAGAGAAGCCAAGGCCACTTATCCTTGACCTTCCTGATGCCACATTTGCCTGACCAGGACTTCTGAGACTCAAAGCTTGAAAGGCAAAAGGGATAGGGGAAGGAAATCTCTACTCTGCTAATATGAAAAACAAAACATCTCCAGGAGTGAAATGATGGCTTCTTAGATGGAAGTGAGCGGAAGGGAGCAGGGAGATCAGGTCACTGAGGATATATAGAGACACCACCAGTACCTTGCAGGTGTGGTCCTTTTCCTTGTCTTGCAGCTTACAACCTCGCTGAGAGAACTATACAGAGACTTCTGGCTGCCCACCTATTTGCTGGGTAACAGATCAGACTACAGTTTAGTTTTTTGATGTTCCTTCTGCTGCCAGAGAAAAGAAAAAAGACAAAAAGAAAGCTGCCAGTCTGGGTCCAGCTTGCCAAGAGCCCTTCTCGGTTCCCTGACCTCCACAAAGAAACAAAATGTGAGGGCCTGACATAAGTCACTACCTGCTTCTTGGCAACCTCTAATGGAAATGCTCACCACTTGTCATGGTCACTAGAGTTAGAGTGCGGCAGTCACAGAGGAAACTCTCCAGGGGGGAAAAATGCCCCCAGAACAATCATTTGCAAATATGCTGATCACAGTCCTTGACTCTTGGGTGTCTATGGTATGTCTAGAGTTTGCCAGGGCTGCAGTACAAAGTACCATACACTGGATGGTTTAAACAACAGGAATCTATTTTTCCCACAGTCTGGGGGCTGGAACGCTGGGATTTAGGTGTTGGTGGAATTGGCCTCATCTGAGGCCTCACTCCTAGGCTTGCAGATACCCATTGTCTCCCTGTGACCTCACATGCACGTCCAGCTCCCCTTATAAGAACACCTGCCATATTGAGTTGACCTCATTCTACTTTAATGATCTCTTTAAAGGCCCTTACACAGTCATGTTCGGAGGCCCTGGGGCTGTAGGATGGGGGAGAAGTCAGCCCCTTGTGGATGGGTTCGTTGTATTTCTCTTTGTTGTCTTCCTAGGGGAGAAGATGACGCTGAGTATCTCCGTCTTACTGTCCTTGACTGTGTTCCTCCTGGTCATTGTGGAGCTTATCCCCTCCACCTCCAGTGCCGTGCCCTTGATTGGGAAATACATGTTGTTCACCATGGTGTTCGTCATCGCGTCCATCATCATCACCGTCATTGTCATCAACACACACCACCGCTCTCCCAGCACCCACATCATGCCCGAGTGGGTGCGGAAGGTGAGCGCCAACTTCACCCAGGGAGACACTCATGGGGTTCCTCTCCCCCTCACTAGGGGGCTTCTTGCCAACACCTGCGCATATTTAGAACTACAAGTCCTTTCTGAGCTGCCAAAAATTGGGGCATTTCCTTGACTTCTCTGTAGAGACAATCCATGTACCCTTCCCAGAGGGAGAAGAAAAATAGAACCAACCAACCCACTCCAAATTCAAGTTTACAAAATCCCTTTAATTCAAGAGAAATACCTCTCTCTCTCTCTCTCTCTCTCTCTCACACACACACACACACACACACACACACACACACACACACACCCTGTGACATGCTTAAGGTTTCTGATTGTGTCTTCCAATTTATGAATGGACTAGTTTATTGTAGCTGGTAAAATCATCTATCAAGAACTGAGTAAGACTAGAGGCAGAGGAGGAGCTTAAGGAAAGAATGTCAAAAGTGAGGAATTGTGTCTCAAATATTTACATTATTGGACTGAAAAACAAGTGTTAACATTTCAAATAAGTTCTTAAAAATGTTTTTGGTAGTGTTAAGGTTTGAACCCAGGACTTAGCACATGATAGGCAAGTGTTCTACTATTGAGCTTCATCTGCTGCCCAAAATAAGCCAGTTTGTTAAAACTTCAAAGGTATAAAAGTGTAGGCTCTTCATGTCAGGAATTTGAAAAGCAACTACTGTCTTTAGAAGAGATTATCAATCCTTGTTATATGAAGAATGTAGGATGCCTTCTAGAAATACTTCTGCTGCTGTTTCTTCAGGAACAAGAAACAGAAAAGTTTGTCTAGCTACTTTGTGGGGTGAAAGTTTATATGTTTGAAGAGGCAGAAGGGCCTCCATCCCCTAGATACAGAATTCTGTGAGAATACATTGTCAGGACCTTGTGGAATGGGTGACTGCACACAGGCTCCCTCCAATGGTGGACTTCTTGCATTACAGAATCATCACTACCACAGTAACTGGACAGGGCCATGGAATGTGTATGAAGGATTTTATTTGCCCAGGACCACACTGCTAATTCAAAGACTGAGTTTGATACTTGCATGTATTGACAATAATTCTCATATCATTTCTGCCTTTTGTTAGGTTTTTATCGACACTATCCCGAATGTCATGTTTTTCTCCACAATGAAAAGACCATCGAGAGACAAACAAGAGAAAAAAATTTTCACCGAAGACATCGATATTTCTGACATTTCTGGGAAGCCTGGGCCTCCACCTATGGGCTTCCATTCTCCACTGATCAAACACCCTGAGGTGAAAAGTGCCATTGAAGGTGTCAAATACATCGCAGAGACCATGAAGTCAGACCAAGAGTCCAATAATGTAAGCTTTGTGTTCGCAATACTTGCTTCTAGTTTTCAGCGATCAAATGCATGTGTGTGGATGGATGGATGGGTTTGGCTCCATGGGTAGGTTGGCATTCAACCCTTAACTACTGACATGAGATGTTCCTGGTGATCATCTGTACGCCACCTTACTAACCGATTAGGTTAGAGATCATATGCCAGGTCAGGGATGTTGAAAGCTTTGAGGTGTACAGACTGAATGGCCCATGGAAGATGGGTGGCATGAACGCTTTGAGTCCTATACCTGCTTTAGAGGGAACTCTGTGTCACTCTCTCCTCTCTCCCAGGCCTCTGAGGAGTGGAAGTATGTCGCAATGGTAATGGACCACATTCTCCTTGGAGTCTTCATGCTCGTCTGTCTCATTGGAACCCTGGCTGTGTTTGCAGGCCGGCTCATTGAACTGAATCAGCAAGGATGAGTAGAAGTGGAGCCTAAGCTCTGCTCCAGGACCGGCCAGAGCCCTGGGAGGTGGGCAAAGAAGGGCTTGTCTACTTCCATACACTCTCATTTATCAATCCTGTGATTTTCTGTAGTTATCGTTATGGTGATAATTTATGTTTACATAAGGATTTAGCCTCCTCACATCTCCCTTCAGCCTTGCTATGCTTTCCTGGGGAATGAACCCTTTGGTAAATGAAACTGGATCTTTAAAAAAAATGGCATGTAGAAGAAGTTTGCCTGAAAAACCAAGGTTTTTTCTTGTGTTTGTCATTGCTGGTTTTTGTTGTTACTTGTTTTTTGGTGCCAATACTGGGGCTTGAACTTAGGGCCTTGTCTCTATTTCTTAGCTTTTCTGCTTAAAGCTGGTGCTCTGTCACTGGAGCCAGAGCTTACTTTCACATTTTTGGTGGTAAAATGGAGGTAAAAGTCTCACAGACTTTCCTGCCAGGGATGGTTTTGAACCATGATCCTCAGATCTCAGCCTCCTGAGTAGCACCTGGCTAACTGCTATTTTGTTTTTTGTTTTCTGTTATTTTTTTTCAAGAAAGACCCAGTTTTGCAACTTTCTTGGAAAGTTCCATCTATCTAAAAATATAAAGCCTTTGATTTGGACAGAGAGGAAACAGTAAACAAGAAATAGAAAATTTTCAGAATCACCACTAAAATGCAAATAATATCAAAAGACATATGTTGAACTAAGAGTTGGGGAAAGGTTTCTTAGGTAGTTCTATACTACTGAGCTACACCTGAGCCTTAAGTTTACAAATTTAACAGAATCCCTGGTTTGTTTTTTTTTTGTGGGGGGGGTCCGGTCATGGGGCCTGAACTCTGGGCTTGGGCGCTGTCCCTCAGCTCTTCAGCTCAAGGCTAGCACTCTACCACTTGAGTCACAGCGCCACTTCCGGGTTTTTTCTTTTTGCTTATGTGGTGCTGAGGAATTGAACCCAGGGCCTCAGGCCTGCAAGGCAAGCACTCTACCACTGAGCCACCTTCCCAGCCCCATCTCTGGGTTTTATTCTCAGAGTTTAGAGAAAAACAAGCCATAATAATATCAAAGTGGGAGCATGGGAACTATGGGGACCATCTTACCTTTGTGGTTTTATAGCACCCTGGAATTTTTTACACCATCCCTATTTTACAAATGAGGACAACCAATTTCTGAGAGGTTAAGTTCGTTGCTCAAGCTAGATGTAGAACTGAGATTTGAACCCAGACCTTGAACTTCCAAAACAACTCTCTCTGGATCAGCCCTCTGCTCACTTGCTCTCCTGGTCTCTCCTAGCTTGAGTAGGCCAATCTATAACCTCTGGTCTGTGCTTTTCAGAGTTTTAGTTTTAGTGACAACCATCTTTTTGCTTCCCCAATTAAATTTTCTGCCTCTATCCTTACACCAATCATGTTTGGGGTCTGTCTTCTACCGGACGCCTATGTACACATCATCGCGACTTGTAAAATTCTGAAGAATCAAAAAAGAAAAAAATGACTTCCTTCCTCCATGGTGAACTTCAGTCCTTCATAGTTTACCCCAGAATGAGAAATGACATGAGTCAGAAAAGGCCTGGGAGTGACAGATACACCTCTGACCTGCAACAGCTCCAAGAGAGCAGGAAATTGCATGAGCATGGGCCTTATCTGAGCCCAGGTGGTTTCAATCTACTCCTCCATGTGACTCCACGTCATATACCTGTAGTAGAGCTGATGTTTTTGTTTTAGAGAAAATCCATTCTAGTTTAAAGAGAAGACAATGGGCTGTTTTTAAAAAATTCCACACAGCCAAGTACCAGTGGCACATACCTGCTATCTTAACTAATCAGGAGGCCGAGATGATTTATATATTATATATATATATATATATATATATAACATATACATATATCATTTGCCCCTTAAAAAGTAATGAAGACCTAGCGCTGGCGTCTCACGCCCATAATCCTAGCTACTCAGGAGTCTGAGATCTGAGGACCACAGGTCAAAGCCAGCCCTGGCAGAAAAGTCCCAGTAAGACTCTTATCTCCAAAAAACTACTCAGGAAAAGCCGGAATGATACTGTGGCCCAAGTGGTAGAGCACTAGCCTTACGCATAAAAAAAAAAAAAAAACTCAGGACAATACCCAGGCCCTGAGTTCAAGCCCAGGACCAGCAAAAAAAATAAATAAATAAAATAAAGGAATGAAAGTTCTGATCTATACTACATCGTAGGTCTCAAAAACATTAAGCTAGTGAAACAAATCAGATTCAAGAGATACATCTTGTATAATTCTGTCTGCTGTGTCCACTCCCTCTTGTGTGTGTGTGTGTGTGTGTGTGTATACATGCATGTGTGCGCACGTGTGCCATTTCTGGGGCTTCTCAGTGTTTCAAGTAGCAAGGATTATACCAGTGACCAGCACTCAGTTTATTGCTCGCTCATTTTATAAGGGAGAAGTGACTCCCTCAGGTCACAGAACTGGTTCATGAAACCCAGCCTGCCAAACCCTATTCTCACACTATTTCCATTTCATCAAACAGTCCATGGCTCTTCAGGAAGTCACGCCTTCCCACGGATTGCACTCATACCACTCACCCCAGTCATGGAAGGCAATGTGCTTGGTTCTGCATGGAAACAGCAGTGCCACACAGGGTGTTCCATTCGCCCCAAACTGGCTCCATCAAACTGACATCAAATCAGAGGTTTTCATCTTCTGCATCTCCTCCTTTAGTCAAGGCCTAGGTTTTAGTAGAGCACAGATGAAAAGGGAGGTAAGACAGGGGGTCCTGGGATCCATTCCCAACTTAGAGGGCTGTGTTGAAGGCCCAGCCCTGTGTGGCTAGGTTGATGAGTTTGTCAAATGACAGATGATTTCTTAGAAAATCAGGAGCATGTTGGAGAAGCTGGAAATAGAAGGAACATACGTTAAAATAATAAAGGCTATATATGACAGATCTGCAGCCAAAATCATACTGAACTGGTGAAAACTAAAACCATTTCTTCTGAAATCAGGAACAAGGCAAGGATGTCCATTCTCTTCACTCTTCTTCAATATAGTTCTGAAATTCCTAGCCAGAGCAATAACACAAGAAAAAGACATAAAAGGGAACCACATAGGGAAAGAAGTCAAATTATCCCTATTTGCAGATGACATGATATTATATGTAAAGGACCCAAATTACTCCATTCCCAAGCTCCTAGAGCTGATAGAGAACTGGAAAAGTAGTAGGATACAAAATAACCCACAAAAATCAGTAGCCTTTCTGTATACCAACAATGTACAAGCAACTCCATTTGCAATAGAATAAAAAAAATTCTGGGAATAAACCTAACCAAGGAAGCAAAAGTCCTTTGTAGTGAAAAACTATAAAAATTTGAAGAAATAAAAAATGATATAGCAAATGGAAAGACCTTCCATGTTAATGGAAAGGTAGGCTTAAAATAGTGAAAATGGTCATACTACCCAAAAGTTATCTACAAATTTAACACAATCCTCATCAAGAAGAAGAGGTAAGAAATAGTCATCATCCCTGGCCATATAGGAAGTGCAAATCAAAACAGCTCTGAGATTCCATCTCAGTCCAGTTAGACTGGCCAACATGGTGAATTCAAACAACAAATACTGTCTGTGATGTGGGGAAAAAGGAACCCTATTGCACTGTTGGTGAGAATGTAAACTTGTACAACCACTCCAGACAGCAGACAGCAATCTGGAGGTTCCTCAAAAAAACTAAACATAGATCTTCCCTGCAGCCCAGCCATCCCACTCCTGGGCATCTTCCCTGAACATCACAAGCTGAGATACCATAAAGACACTTGCACATCCCTGTTCATTGCTGCCCTATTCAAATAGCCAAGTGATGGAAACAGCCAAGATGCCCAACAACAGATGAGTGGGTCAAGAAAATATGGTACCTATACACAATGGAATTCTACACAGCCATTAGAAAGAATAATATGTCATTTTCCAGAGCAACGAATGGACTCTATTCTTTCCCGCTCTCCTCTCTTCCTTTCCTCTCTCTTACCTTCTTTTCATCTTCTCCCCTCTCCCCTTTTTTCATCCCTCTCTCCTTTTCCTCCTTTTCCTTCTTTCCCCTTCCCTCTCTTCTCCCAGCCTTCCCTCCAAAAGGTGCAAGGAGAGGAGGCCCTTAGGAACTGTGGTAATGGCCTTCATGTTGCCCGAGGCGGTCCAGCTCGCCTTTGCAATCCCATCTGACTCTGAGGCCAGAGGTGGAGGCTGAGTAAGCACCCTAGAGACCTGAGGCCAGGAGATGACAGCATCAGGAGTGTCCCAACAAGAAGCAGAGCCGCTAATGCAACGTGCAGGCCTAGCTGGCTCTGGGACAAGAAAAGGACCTGAGTTGGAGTGTATGAAAGCTGAACTAAATCTTCCATTCGGTTTCAAGTCAGTAGTGGATCAGTCTTAAAATACCTCGTTTTGACAAATGTACCACAGTTCTGTCACCAGGAAGGGAAGCTGGACAGAAAGCACATGTACTTGCTGTACTGTCTGCAAGGTTTCTATATCTAATAGTCCACCCTCTCAAAAGAAAAGGCTGGCCGAAAAGGAGAGCTGAGCATGATGGTACAAGGCCTGTAAGTCCAATATTTGAGAGGCTGAGGTAGAGGATCACGAACTTGAGACCACCAAGGACTACATAGTGAGATCCCATGTCAAACCACCACCACTACAAGAAAATCATCATCATCATCATCATCAAAGCAGAGCTAGGAAAGGCAATTAAAAAAGAAAAAGACAGAAATTGAATTTTATTTTTTATTTTTTTGTCAGTCATGGGGCTTGAACTCTGGGCCTGGGCACTATCCCCGAGCTCTTCAGCTTAATGCAAGCACTCTACCACTTGAGCCACAGTGCCACATCCAGTTTTCTGGTAGTTAATGGGAGATAAGAGTCTCACGGACTTTCCTGTCTGGGCTGGCTTTGAACCATGATCCTCAGATCTCAGCTAGGATTATAGGCATGAGCCACTGGCACCCAGCCAGCATTTGATTTCTTTTGATTCC